CGTATTCTATCATTAGCGATACAATGTCATATAGATCATTGCATTATCTAATTTAATAAAAAATAAACGAAAAGATGTTTATATGAACTTATACAATTTAATCCAAAAATGTTCCTATATGTTTGAATAAGACAGATGTTATAGAAAAATTATTATATCCTATCATTGGCAATATAATATGACATTCTTCAGATCATTGAACAATTATTTTACAGATTATTTCAGCATACATAATAAAGTTATACAATTAATATATCGTTTTATATCTTATCTTATTTAAACGATGGAATAAGTAATTATATACACAAACTCCTTTGTCACATTCTTTGATTTAATATAAAATAAGTGACAGAATGATTTATGCGAATCTATACAATTTAATCCGAAAATGTCCCTATCTGTTTAAATAGATAGATGTTATAAAAAAATTATTCCACCGTTGTTATATAATTAATCATTCATTTAAGTCATTGAGTAACTAATTATTTAATAACCTAAATATCACATTATGTTGCCAACTATTGAATACGATAATTTTTTCATAAAATCTTATTCTAACATATAGGAACATTCTGGATTAAATTATATAGTTTCTTATAAACATTATGTCATTTTTATGATATAACTTAAATATCGTTTTAATCGTAAATTTCTGATTACTTACCTGCTATATTAAATAAATTTTCTGTATTTGTCTATCGTTTTCACATAGTTTAAATACCGTTTGAAATCTATTTCTATCTGTTCATGTTGTATTAAAATTAATAATATTCTATCATGTTTTTGAATCGTAAATTTCAGATAACTCGTTTAAAGTACGTGACATATTTTCTTTATTTCTGTATCGTTTTTATTATACAACTTAAATGTCGGTTTTAATCAATTATTTTAGTCGTGTGTTTTATCAAAATTAATAATATTCTATCATATCTTTAATCGTAAATTTCAGATTCTAAAATTTAAAATTAAATTTCAGATTTTAAAATTTACAAAGCAAAAACACGAAAGAATATTATTAATTTTGATAGAACATGATCAGATAGAAATTGATTGAAAACGATATCTGAGCTGACGAAAATGATGCAGAAGTATACAAACTCTATCAAATATTTTAGATAAGTAATCTGAAATTTACAATTCAAAAACACGATAGGATGTTATTAATTATTAATTTTCATAAAACGTGACCAAATAGAAATTGTTTAAAAACGATAATTAAGCTATAAGATGAAAATGATAGAGAAATATAGAAAATTTATATCAGGCAAGTAATCTAAAATTTAAGATTAAAAACAATACTTAAGGTATATTATAAACGTGATACAATGTTTATAAGAATCTATGTAACTTAATCCAAAAATGTCTCTATAATCGCATTGTTTCTATTATCACATGCTAAAGTATCCAGACAAGCGTGTGATTATAGTTCAGCGTGCTAGACTTAAAGTGCTAGATTATCACTCCGTAGATCTCAGGTTCAAATCCCGTCAATTCCAATATGCGTTTCAAAAATTATAAATTTTTGATGCATAATTGTAATTAATGAATTGCAATATGAAAATATAAATGAACTCTACAAAAGAATAATAAAAAATAATAATTGTAATTTTAATTATTATAAAAAGTTCTTTTTTAAAAATAATATGAAATTTACGATTAATATAATACTATTAATTATGATAAAACATGATCAGATAGAAATTGATTAAAAACGATATCTAAGCCGTGCGACAATATCATATATTTCAGATAAGTAATTTGAAATTTACGAACCAAACACGATCTTTCAATCAGATAGAGTTTTTTCCTATCTGATTCTATCGGACTTTTTAAGCAGGGGATATGATAGTCAATGAAGTTAGGTGAAATCCGCGAGCATTGCGAGGTCAATTGATAGGCCGAATCCATCATCTTCGGTAACGTTTATTTCGAATTCATTATTTTTTATGATAAAAAACCAATACCTACAATGTTATTTGGCCCTAATGTTCTATTATTTCGCTATTAGCTGCGTTAAGATACTTACCGTAAATGTAGGTGACTTGGGATAGTGCAGGTAACTTGGGGCACAGCATGTATTTTTGTTAAATTTAATCCATCCATTGAATTTAACAGAAGTACATGCCGTTCCAAGTTACCTACACTGTTTCAAATCATCTACATTTGCGGTACGATCTTATGACAGACAATGTTTACGGTAGCTTTTATTCTTACGATCACGACCGCTTACAATAGATATAGATGAGCCTTAAAAGAACATGACATTAAAATGAATAAATTAATGAATCAGCTAAGATCGGCAAATTTTTACAACCTGACAAGTGCGAATTTTTACGTCGAAGTAGCATACTTAAGGCATGATTGGTGAGGACGGAATCTGTCCAGATTCCGCAGCAGTGAGAAATTCACAGTAGTAAGAAATTTTCCAGTTTCACGTAACGCCAAGAATGTTCGTCAGTTTTTAAAGTTTAGCCGATTATCAGTTATTATTCGGTTCCACGAATTTTCGAAAATTGCTTCTCAAACTTTATTAAAAAAGAATTGCCATTTATAATAATGCAACTCAAAATGCATTTGATGCCCTTCGTGAATTACTTTGTAAAGAGCTTGTTCTCCAATACCCAGACTTTGAACACGATTTCATAATCACTATAGAAGCTTCCAATTGTGCTATTGCTGGAGCTTTAAGTCAGGAGGAAATTAGTCAGGATCTTCCTATCTCCTACGTCTCTAGAATTTTAAATTTAGCTGAAAAAATTATTCCACGATAGAAAAAGAATTACTCGCGATAACTTATTGCATTAATAATTTTCGACCTTACATTTACGATCATACTTTCATTAGTTACTGATCACCAACCTTTAACATGGCTACATTATTGACTACGTTTACACAACTTCAATTTAGTTGAAGTTATTTTAACGATGATGTTATAATTCCTAATTAAGCGAGTCGCGTTTACATGTTCAAGAACGTGTTTAATGTTCTAATTTCTACTTAAGGTGAATAACGCTTATCTTATTCCCATCAAAGTGAAATAAATCTAGAAGCAAAGTGAACTTTTAGGTTAGTATGTTTGGAAATTATTAAATATTTATTTGTTAAATGAAATTAATATACATATAACTAAAAAGTGAAATTAACATTTTAGGTTGTTATAAATTTTGGACATGAAGTGATCGAAAAGAACATGAAACACGTCCATTCGTTTGTTGCTATATATTTTGCAAATGTAAAAAACGTGATCATGCAACCCATATTACATATTCAAAATCTTTTAATTAAAACAAGGCGAAGACATCAGAAAGAAATGAAATTCTTGTTAAATTCAACGCTATCAAATCATTTGCTTGATCTCGAACCTTTATTACAATTTTCACGAAAAAGAAAAATATGAATGAAAAAAACGAAGTTTTGATTGGTGGGACCGAATTGTTAATGGTCATTTTAAGGACGAAGACTGGTTCGAAAATTTTCGGATGACAAAAGCAACTTTTTTCTGGTTATTCAATCAATTACGAGAAACTCCAAATTTAAATCAGAAACTCGAGAGACTCGAGTCAAAAAACAAGTCGCTTTTTGTCTGTATTTCTTATCCAGCTGCTGTGAATACCTATCGTATAATCGGAAATAACTTTGGGATTCAGAAGGCCACTGTATGGAAGTGTATTCACAGAGTAATTGATGCAATTAATACAAAACTAATGAGTTTATGGATAATCATGCCTGACAATGATGAGTGTCATGAAATAGCTGTTGCTTTTGAGATAAAAACGCATATTTCCCCAATTAATTGGAGCAATTGATGGGACACATATCCCCATTCTTTCTCCTAGCGATGGGTACAGAGATTTTATTAATCGAAAAGGATGACCATTTATGATACTGCAAGCAGTTGTAGATAACAACTACAGGTATTATAATGTGCAAAAATATTATTTGTTTATTTTTATCTTTAATAAAACTGTTTTTGTCTTTAATAGAATGATTAATTAATGTCATTATTTTTTAGGTTTTGTAATATTTGCTGTGGCGTACCAGAATCGTGTCATTATGTTGCGGTTTTTCAGACTTCAAAATTGTATAGTAATTATAATTTATTAATTCTTAAAATTGGTACAAGATGATTTATTCCTTACTACAGTTAATATTACAATTTCATAAAATTTACAAAAAACTGATTTCAGGAAACGAAAATAATATTAAATGTGCCTTATCTTATAATAGGAGATCCTGCCTATCTGCAATGGCTCGTTAAGGATATACTAAAAATGTTTGCCTCACTCCTTCAAGCAAGAATCCTTCAATGTATATTTGAATTCTGCTCGCGTATGTGTTGAAATAGCTTTTGGAAGGCTAAAAACTCGCTAGTGACAACTATTCAAACGAATGAACATGCACTATACTTACGTAGCCTATGTAATATCAGCTATGTACTTTACATAACATAGTCGAGACGTGAAATGAAATATTTTTACCTGTGTGGGAACGGGCAGCAAGACAGATAGAAACTGAAATTCAGCAACTAGAACGAAAAGCTCGAAATTTGAATAACTTTGATGCCAGTAACATAAGAGATATTCTGAAAAATCATTTGGCTGAAAATTGAGTTCTGAAGAACATAAACGATGTAATAAAATCTTGTACCCTCCACGAGCTATTTTTTTTTGCTATCTTAACTATATCTTTATGTCTAATTATATTTTTATTATGGTAATCACATAATACAACCAATTCAACTTATTCTAATATTTCACTGACGGTCAGTAGGTACAATATAAAATATATCGCAAAAAGAAAAGTAATTAAGCGAATGCCAAATATATAATGATATATAATTTTTAAGTTTAATCAGGAGATCGATGATGTAACTTTTTTTTGAGCGTAGAAAATGAAACTTTTTTTGTATGTACATGTGTATATGTACATACATGAAAAATTTCACTTTTCATATCTTTACTCTAGAAAAAAATTACAGAATCGATACCCAGTGTGTCCTCACTATCTTAAAATTGTTACGAATCTTGAGTACTCGAAAATTGTTTATTCTGCGAATCTTGTGATGTTACGTTCAATATTGATTGTGCGGAAATAGACTTTTGATTTTCAGCTTATGGATATTTCTTTACAGTGATAGTTTGTTGAATACTTGTGGCTGTAGTTTTCTTTGGAGTTGGATTTTTTAAATTTAATAATACTTTAGGAAAAGGACTTGAAGAAAAAGCTTGCGATTTAAGATTAGGTGGTGAAAATAGAGAAGAATAATGAAATAGGAAGATTATAAAGAGATTATTTTAAGCGACAAAATTGAATGTAGGAACTGAAACTGTAAAGAAAGTTGAGACGGGAGCGTTCTTTAGGAGCGAAAATATTCTGTAAACCCTTTAACAATTGGTTAGTTGTTTCTTTTAACATACTTCTTTGGCTTTCAAGCATGTTATTAATTATTTCTTGTTCAAATTGTTGTTCAGATTTAATTAATTGTTCAACAAAGCGCCCATTCTCTATCATAATTTTGTTTTGAATTTCTTCATAATTTTCTTTTAATTTGTCTGCATATTTCAAGGGCATAGCTTGTTTTCATCTCTTTACTCGACGTCTTTTTGCAGGAATAAAATTATTAACTATGCTTTCATTTACAGTATACGATTCGCTTAACGAATCTTTTTGTATAGAGTCTGTTGTCGAATTATTGTCCGATATCGATGAACATCCTGGGACTACACCGTCATGGTTCTAGAGCATCTTCATAAATCCTATTGCTTGAATCTAGTATAGAATAATATTTTCATCTATTATATAATAATATTACCTCATACACAATATGCTTTCATTAGGCTCTTACCTACTACAATTCTTACATACTAAAATTATATATGTAACAGAATCACTTAACTATTGTCACTGCTCTCAGAGAGATTTTGTAATAATATGCTGTTTACATCCTGTATGGCAACGGGACAAAAAGTCAAAAATTGGCTCATTTCTTCGGCATATGGAAATGAGGATATGTAATTGCCAGATCCACTTTATCTCATTTGTCTTCGGATTTTGTTATATTGAACTAAAAAACATTACAAATAACATTACAATACAAAATTATCCATAAATCAAAAACATGCATAACCAATAAATTTATTTATTAGGTGTTGGAATTAATTCGTAGCGTTTTTTAAATGAAAGAATGTTATTTATTTCACATGAGTATTAAAAAATACATTAATGAAAGTACTTCCCATCACTTTCTACTACTTTTGACCATCTTTCGGGCAGTAAATGAATACCGCGTCGGAAGAACTGTTCATCTTTAGATGAAATCCAGGAATCGAACCATTTTGTACAATCTTCGTAAGATGTGAACTTCTGCTCGCACAAGCTATGAGCTAATGATCGAAACAAGTGGTAGTCGCTAGGTGCAATATCAGGAGAATACGGCGGGTGCGGTAGCACTTCCCATTTAAGTGTTTCCAGGTATGTTTTTACCGGTTTTGCAACGTGTGGACGAGCATTGTCGTGCAGCAAGATGACTTTATCGTGTCTTTCGAAGTATTCCGACCGTTTTTGCTTCAATGCACGGCTCAAGCACATCAGTTGCCGTCGGTAGAGATCTCCAGTAACGGTTTCATGCGGTTTTAGCAGTTCGTAGTATATGACACCCTTCTGATCCTACCAAATACAGAGCAGGAGCTTTGAGCCATGGATATTGGGCTTTGCCACTGATGTTGATGGTTCGCCGGGCTTAACCCATGACTTTCTGCGCTTTGGATTGTCATAATGGATCCACTTTTCGTCACCGGTAACAATCCGATGCAAAAAACCTTTTCTTTTCTGCCGTTGAAGCAGCAGTTCGCACGTGAGAAAACGTCTCTCAATATCCCTTGGTTTCAATTCATATGGGACCCAATGTCCTTCCTTCTGGATCATGCCCAAACTTTTAAGACGTTTTCCTATTGTTGAGAAGTCAACTTCCAATGACGTAGATAATTCTTTAAGTGTTTGACATGAGTTTTCATTGAGCAGTGCCTGCAAATCGTTATCTTCAAATTTTTTCGGCTGACCAGGTCGCTCCTTGTCATCCAAGTCGAAATCACCAGCTTTAAAACGTGCAAACCACTTCCTACACGTTTGCTCAGCTAGAGCATGTTCACTATACACATCCACTAAAATACGATGAGCTTCAGCTGCACTTTTGTTCATATTAAAGTAATGAAGCAAAACTCCCCGCAAAAACACTTTATCTGGCACAAATTTTGACATATTCAATGAATTATACAGTATTGTTATTTATGATTTCAAGAAAGGTTATGTACGGCAAATGACGTCCTATGATAGATGTTTACAGATGTTTAGATGTAATGTATACAGAACTATAGGTAACAACGAAATAGTGTACTGCTTGTGCCATCTCTTGTAAAACGCTACGAATTAATTCCAACACCTAATATTTTCTATAAAATATATTTTTACTTACGCCTCAATGTTCTAAATCTAGTTTGCATTTGCTTTGACGTTTTAGTGTAACCTTTTTCGTTCATAGACGATTCTAAATTGTTAAAAATGTCATCTTCTCGAATTCTTTTTCCGTCTAAATTTTTCATTACTTGCCGTTCTCTCATTAATTTGAGAAAATATCGAGTTTCTTCGGTTTCCCAACTTTTGCGCTTTTTCATTTTCATATTTTGGCTTTATTCTTTTAATTTATGCGTTTACATTGTTCGATTTACGTTGAAATTATAACGCGCATTTACACATCTTTTTTATGTCGATGATTATAATTCTAAGTCTCTTCATCAAATTACTTTGAGTTACTACATCGAAGTAATAACTTCATCTTAAAATTTACATGGCATTTAACGTCAATAGTTATAATATCGATGTTATAACTTCGGCGTAAATTGAGCCGTGTAAACGTAGTCATTTAAAAGATCCTACATCCTGTCTTATGCAGTGGCGTCCTAAATTAAAAGAATATGACTATAAAATCATATATAAAAAAGGAATGGTAAATAATAATGCTATCAAAGAATCCCGATATAGATATATCACATACCTTCCAGTGCTTTCTATTTTGGAAAAAGACTTGTCTTGACAAGACGTGGAAAATCATGGACAGTTCAAATACAGATGATGATCGACTTCGAAAAAGATCTGGTGAAGGTAAGGATGTGAGATTAAGTTCTCCACCATTGACTGAATCCTCCGACGAATTTGATACAGCTGATATTGCAATAACTTCTTCCTTTTTTCTTCTTTTCGTGAACCACTAATATCAGCTACTGGTGACGCTATTAATCGATCCCGACGCGAGTCAAATCGCTTCGGCTGAATCAAATCGATATTATTTAAGACCTTGGAGAGGAATTCTATTTCCAACAATCCCTTGAAATCCTTGAAAAAGAATCATGAGACCATCGGTTTACTTTCGATTCCCCTTGAATTCCCTCTTCTCCCTCATCTAGTAATAGATACTCGGATGCCTCTGATGACGAGTTCGAGATAGTTGACATTTCCGATGAAATTAGTTGATAGGGGAACAATCTATTATTAGCGGGATTGATTCCCTCGAAAATCCAGTAGGATTAGATCCGTCGCAAAAAATTCATAACCGAATACGAGAAAGTAGCGTTTTTACTTAATCGGGTTGATAATATAATAACGATGATAGATGAACGACCTTTCGACAATGGCACTCAGGAATTTCATAAAGTCAGAAAATTGCCAAATTAATGAGTTTATGCTCGAAAAAGTTCGCGTTATTGATTCAATTTATCTTGAAGGTTATGTCATTATTTGTAAAAGAAGGGTTTTATATTCAAATAAACGAAACGATTTTTAATGAATGTTTTTTTTTCTCTTTTCAACGTGTTAACGAATTGCGTACAATAAATATACGGAAAATATACAATAAGTTAGATTTGACATCTTGGAAATCTATACTGTTTATGCTAAATCATATTACTGAAGAATGCTCTCTCACTATTATTGTATGTAACGAAGCAGTCTCCACTCCTTCTGTTCCGTTATATACAACCTTTACCCCTCGGTGAAGGATAGAATTAATATTATCCATAGTAGTAAAGCAAGGCGGGTTCTAACCCATAAGGCTAGAGGGAAACGCGGGACGCGGGGGATATTCATAGGCGCGGGGGATACTCGTAACGCAGAGAAAGAGGGGGAAAGGTCCCAGCGCTATTGATGTTACATAAACGTAGGATCCCGGTCCTTATTTTTTGTCGTCACCCGCCTCTCTCTCTCCAAAAATGCATCGGTAACAAAGGCTTGCAAACACTTATAGCACATACCTACCATCTCTCTTTCTCTTATGTTTCATCATCTTTCCCGCCGCTGCGTTGTCACTCTCATATATCTTCTTGCATGCAAACATATTTTATCATACGTTTTTATTTAATGACTTAAAAAGAGAACACTTAATACGGTCGTGACAGTACCGTCGAGTGAAGATGCTGTCGACGCACGTAATTTAGCAGCGCGGAAATAAGAAGGAAAGAAGAAAACAAATAGATGCGAAATCCGAGTAATATAATTTACATATATTTTTTTCACACCACATAAAAATTTTATTATAATAAAAAATTAAAAAATTTTAATTCAAAAAAATTTTTTTTAATGAAAATAAAAAATTTAAAAAATTTTAATTAAAAAAAAATGAAAATGAAAATTAAAAATTTTTTAAATATATGATATTTGAGACGTCATCGTTTGTAAAACAAAAGCGTTACATTAGCATGCAACATATAAGAAGAGAAAGTCATATATAATATAAATTTATGATACTTACAATTCCAATCTTCCGGCTCCGGATCGGGCTCGTACGGTCGGAGACCGAACAGTTGAGCTAGGAAGAAGTCACCTTTCTCCCATATGTCAACTTGTTCCTCCCGGTCCCGCTGTCTGTCAGCTCGTACCATTTGCCATGTGATGATATAAATTCTTTTATTTGAATATAATAACGAGGTACACCCTGAAAAATGAATAAAGTGAATTTAAAAGAAGTATTATAAAAAGTGAATTAGAAAATAAATCTATTTATTATACTTACTGAGGGGATAATTTGCATCCCCACTTCGTTTCGCAACTGTAGCCTGAGCTACTAGTTATCGACTATAAGGTATTGGAAAAAAAAAAAGTAAAAAGATGTTAGAAGCACAAATTCACTAAAATATTTGATACAAATAAAAAGAAAAAACTTACTCCTTCAATGAGATATTCGTAACGAATCCTATTCAAATCCCGTAAATTATTCATCGTTGTTGTTGATGTTGTTATGAAAAATATCCCGGAAAAAAGTCGACGAAATTTAAAACAAAAATCACACAATATTATCACTTTCACTATCACTCAATCACTTAATAAACGTGCAAAAGTATTATTTAGCGTTAATGGTAAAATACTTTTTTACGTTGGGGAAAAAAATCACTCACGTTGCAATATATTAAACTCTTCGTATTAGTTTCGCGCGCGGACAAGATTCAGCCAAGACTGACGCTGAGAAGCATCCTTTGTCATAACGAGACTACCTAGGATACATTTGCGCTGCATATGAAACACTTAAGATCATGTTAAAGAAAGGATGGAAAAAAGGAATCAATAGAGTACAAATATCCTTTTTTTTCGATACAATTTTTTCAATACAATTTTTCCTGCGCGGCGAGACAAAGAATGGGGAGTAAAAAAAATACATATATAGTAATGCGAACAAAAATCTTTTATTCACATTACACTTATTACACTGATTTTTTCTCATTATTTATTATATTTTTTTTGCGATCCACAGCGTTCGCCACATGCGATCGGTGGCTCGAACATCGCTAGCAGCTTTCTGGAAAAAGAGGACGAAACATTTTTAATCACTATTCGCTTTTTTCAGCAGAGAATAAAATGCATTAGTACTAGTCATTCTAAATAAGATACCTTATGGCTTATATTAGTTGTAGTAAAAAGAAATCCATTATTTTTCCAATAGATGGCTTTAGTAATCTGTATCACGTGTAGACGAAATACAAATTACTAAAGTCATCGGAAAAATAATGGATTTCTTTTTACTACACCTAATATTTTGATGACATTGATGACATTGATAATGAGCAACACGATTTTGATGCTTTTTCACTAGGACATTCCCATTATCTCGCTTTTTCCCTCGATGATGATGGACTTGATGGACCTGATAACAAGGGACGATACTCCTTACGTTCGATCGATTTTCGACGATATATTCTTTTACTCGATCCATGTCTTATCGCTCGTAATTAATATTTATGATTGAATGAAAAAAAGCTATATATATTGTTTATATACACTATCAGATCGGTGACATGTCGTCACGCGTTAATAGAAGCGTCGATGTTTTTCGGCTGCTAAACAAAAAACATAACTCTTCTGCAGTAAATGTGGAAGGCAGAATGTGCAGGTATTCGCACAAAGGCGAGTACTCCAAATCGAACGCACTCTTTTTTGTCATCGATTTCTCTTTTATTACTTGAACATACGTTCTAACGAATAGAAAATATTTACTTAAATTTTATGATCGACAATCTAAAAAATTAAATGCTACCCTTTGTGATTGCTCATTTGTTTTTCGAACTTCCTGTTGTTGACGAGAAAACGCCCTTCAACTTGCTTTTACGTTTGAAAATATGAGTCTTTATATACACAGGATCCATATTTAGATTTTGTATTTACTGAACCGATTGTATATAAATAGGATTTTCTCTACATGGTTTGTAACCTTTGTCGTAAATTTTATTGCCGTGGATTTGACGATTCTGAGGATCTATGTTTTTGTTTATGTTTCCAATATCATTGGGAAGATTTTCTAATGGCACGTTTCTTGAATATTATCACGCTCGCCGATCGGTGATCGTTAAAGCTCGAGTTTTATGTTCGCGCTTTGTATTAACGACTGTTCTTTTTTTGGCCGAAATTTTCACGAAACGGAGAAATCTTGAAGTCCACTGGACGTAATATAATATATAATAGATCATAAGTGCCGACACCACAGATGATGCCCTGGAAGACAAACGAATCGGTCGCTCCGGTTGTTGATAATAAGTTAATCATCGTGCGAACATAGCTAACATAGTCGAGTATATTCGAAACATGGAACTGGAATAGTTAAATAATGGATCAAGATTCCGATGAAGAAATGTTATCAGACGACACTGGCTATGCTAGCGATTTGAGCGAGCACGCATATGGATTACGCAGAGAAATTTGTGCCGTCTTCAGAAATCCATGCACTGAATGGCCGTACTAAACAATGCATGATCCAGTGCTATTATACAACTGATGATGCTTTAATTGTATGTGCAGCATGAATGATCCGTTTGGCTGACACCGATGTTGTGGAAATGTATCTTGTAAGGAAGATATCGGTTATATTGACGCGCTAAGCGGTCGGTCTTGCACGAATTGCAGAGTGTCAATGTACACTATATTTCCGTGCAACAAGTGCTCACACTGCATACATTGAAAAAATTGTTGCGAATAGTATTGTGAACGAAACACTGGAAAATATGTGGGAGGACTGTAATGTAGATGATGTGCTATATGTTCTCGTAATCTATAAAAAAAGAGACATAGGTGTGCGAAAATCGCCGGTGCAATTCCTATGCGATCGAACATTAGGTATACGTGATGAGAAACATGGAATAGTTATTAAAGAGCACGTTTCTGACTGGTCTTTACTCGCGCGACAGAAAGTGTACCCACGGTTACGAGACAAATGTTACGAGGACGATGAGAATGAAAAGAGACATTGGTGAAATAGAAATGTCAATGTAATAAAGGACGATTATTATTGGGCGAAGAAAATCGCAGATAAGAGCCAAAGTTGATGCATATGCATTAAGATTCCCACAGGTAATGAAAAGTGCGTCGAACTGCTGCTTATTGACAATATGAATGGAGTTTTGTGATCGGGATTTGCGCTAAAACTATTTTTCGATAGATGCGACGATCAATGTTTTGAGTGTGAACAGTGCACTTTCGCAAACAAACCTAATGAAAAGATGTTAGAACATTATGACATTTTAGATATGTCACGGTGTTGAAACGTGTATGAACGAGTTACGTACAGTAAGTTACGTACAAGTGCTCCGTGGAAGAGTATGACGTGATCTAAAGATTGTAAAAAAAAAGACATGGAAAATCACGAGCGAGTGGAACGCGAATTGTTGAAGCAGTGCGATCAGGTCGCTACTCTAGTGGAGTGTTTCGCATGGCTGCGACGATTCGACGAGTGCATGGAAGAACTTTGTCGTGTCAAGCTTCCGCATTTCGCCATTGAACACAGACAATCCGTGGTGGCGAGGATCGCGCGGCTCGCGGGTGCAAAATTGCAATTGGAGCGACGTTTCATACACGTTGGTGACGAGTACACAAGTCGCGACGAAAGATCTCTCACCTGGCGAGAGATCGACGCCGCGTTTGAAAGCCATATATTGACAGGTACTGTGATAAACTCTAATCACATTGAGCCGCGGCGGTTTTTGGAAGAGAAATAGTGCTCGAGCGTGTGCGAGACGCTGTAGAAAGACACGGTAGCGTAAAAGTGAATACCGCGTTCAACGGTGAGTTCGACGAAGGATAAACGTGTTAATAAGAGCATAAAGAAGCGAGATATACCAATACACCGATTTGCACGAGTGATACGAGCGGCGTGTCATCGAGCCTATCCTAGCATCGCTCGAAGAGTTCCAGGAACGCGACAGCGAGCATTGTCACGTATAGTGAATTTGACTATCAATGTAAACAAAATAAATCCCATTCGCGCGGGATGTCATACCAAAATGCCATGGCAAATAGCGACGAAACGAGCGATGTTCAGTGTGCGTACGACGGACAATGCGTGCTTCACGTGGTCGATGGTCGTCGCGCTGTACCCGGCTGAAAAGTATACGGATCGGGAATCGTCGTATCCGCATTATGCGACAGTATTGAATCTCACAAACATTGAGTTTCCAATGACTTTAAAAGATATTTCTAAATTCGAACGGTTAAACACGGTGTCGATTATTAAGAATAAACAGGTCCTTCCTCTGCGACCAATGAAAAGAAGGAGAAACATGTCAACGTGCTGTATGTGCAAGATTCATGCAACGACGGTATTGGATATTTTGCGTGGATAAAAAATTTATCCCATCTCGTGAGCTCGCAGATTAGTGGGAAAAAGAACAAGAAATTTTTTTGCGATCAGTAAGTATACATGAAAAAATTATTAAAATTTTCTGTCTTACTAATAAAGTAATAGTAATAGTTATAATTTTTTGTTTTTTTTTCAGTATGCTTGCACTACTTCAATACGAAATTGCAGTCGCACGTAATGGACTGCGAGAAAATCAACGATTTGGCTATCCGACTGTCGAGCGTGGACGACAAGTGGCTCGAATTTGAGAACCACTGTAATAAGCAGCGTGTCCCATTCATCGTCTACGCTGACTTGGAGTACGTTCTACGGAAGATGTGTCGTCGTACACGTATCAATGGCACGAGGTATTTAGTATAGGATATTACGCGCGATGTTCGTACAACGACGCGTTATCGTCATATCGGTTCGCGCGATAACTCAACGATTTGGCGCATCGAGGGAAAAATATTGTATCCACCAACGTGTTCATGGAAATGTTGTCGAAAGAACAATTGGAGGCGTATCGTAGTGCGACGCGTTGTCATATTTGCGAGAAACCGTTCGTGCCGGACGATATGCGAGTCCGCGATCATTGTCATCTCACCGGTAGATATCGTGGTCCAGCGCATGCAAAAATTACAATCTTAATTATAAAAATTCGTTTTATTTTACAATAGTTTTTCACAATTTATCAGGCTACGACGCGCACTTTATAATTAAAGAAATTGCTATCGCGTACGAAGGACATGTAGATGTGTTATCGATAACCAAAGAAAAATATATTTCGTTCACAAAATATGTTCAAGATGCGGCCAAGAGAGCAGATTTCCGAAAATGCATAAAATTAAGGTTTATCGATTCTTTCAAATTTCTAAATGCAAGCCTCGATAAATTGGCGTCGTTTCGCATAAACAAATTAAAAATAGTACGTTCCAAATTTTCAACACTATCGGATGAAGAATTACTGACTC